GCAGGGGTTCTGATGTTTCTGCTTCATGCTCAGAGGGAGCCATTTGTTGTTTTATGTGTAACACTGTTGGATGGGTTTTGTTGCAAATTTCACATGTTAATCGTTCCACACAATTCCTGCTGATGTGGCCCCGTTGCAGACAGCCAAAACACACTCCTCTTCTCTTTAACAGAAATATTTTATCTTTGTGCAGTTTTCTTTCAAATTGTTTACAATCCCCTAATGTGTGAATTTGTGAGCAACAAACACAAGGCTCATCTTCATTTCCTTCTATTGTAACATATGTCTGTTTGGATTCTTCAGGAACACTCACAGATGTTACAGTGCTGGCCACGACATTTCTTTTAATCTTGGTACCCAGGTGTGGCCTTTGCTGTTGCTGACTAAGAAGTGTTGTACTTAAACTATAATCTTGTAAGTCACCGAAAAATGGGTCTAACAAGATCTTGACATGACGCTCTATAAATGCAACCATATCATTGAATCCAGCCCTATATCCAGTTGTCTCCATGATATCATAGGCTTTACCTCTCCAGCGCTCTCGTAGTTTATATGGAAGTTTTGCAAGAATTGCTCTCATATTCACAGGCATGTTGAGCTCTTGCACATATTCCAGCTCGTTCATCACATTACAACAACCACGCAGAAATAAGGAATAACTCTGCAATGCCCTTGTGTCCTCAGTTCTTATCGTTGGCCAAGAAAGGGCCTTGTTAATATATGCAGTTGCAGCTTTGTATGGATTTCCAAAATGTTCCTGTAACAAAGTCTTTGCTACTGTGTAGCCATGATCCGGGTCCATATGTTGGCAACTGCGCACCAGCTCACGAGGTTGGCCTCTAGTAAACTGTTCCAAGTAGTACAAACTGTCAGCTTGAGTTGCTTTCATTTCCACTCCTTGTTCAAATGCTTTAATAAAGGCTCTGTATTGCAGAGGATCGCCATCAAATACAGGAATGTCACGTGATGGTAAAGTCATTGACTGCTGCTGCTTTACCATGGCTGCTGTGATTTCAGTTTGTCTGTTCATGATGGTAAGAAATTCTCCAGGTAACTGTAGACTGGTTGTTGATTGAGTTATGTTCTCATTGTATGTATAACGCTCCCTTTGCAGTTTAGTTCCACTGGGTTTATGTTGTTCAACCACAAGGGGTGTTGCTGTCACAGTTTTCTTTGGTCTGACATCCACAAGTTTAGTTTCAATTAATGCCACCTTTGGTTCATTTCGTTGCTGAGATTGCATTTTATTGTCATTTTTAATTATTTGAATTTCAACATCATTTTCAGGTATAAACTCTTTGGCAACGGGATTCAGTTCTTTTACCACTCCCTTTGATCTCCTTTTATAACATGAGCTCGTTCCAGTTAACTTTGTTTGTGAAGAAGACTCCAGCATAGAGTTATACATTTCCATTTGATAATCACATTCTACCAACTCGGTCTTCAATGCAAGCAGCTCCTTCCTTCTTCTCAGCTTCTCCTCCTCTTCTTCTATAGCATGTCTTTCTTCCATGGCTTTCACATGTGCCAATACTGAGGCCCTTTTAACTGCTGCTTTCAGCTTAGCAGATGAAATGGTGCTGGATTTAACACTTTTTTGTGACTGTCTACTGCCAACATTTGACACACTGTCATGAGGACTTATATCATCATCAAAACGATCATCATTTTTGTTGGTTTCAGTTTGAGAGAGCCACTTATTCACACTACAAACACACTCATTATTGGGAATCATTTTGGCTTTAAACCATATCTCATGCTTTTCTTTTTCATCACATGGCAATAACTCCAACAAGGACTCATGTAAATTTTTGGCATCATCACATGCCCCTTTTAACACATCCACAGTACTTAATACATTTGAGTTATCACCTTTAGACATTAACTCATGAATCTCACGTCTTATGTTACCCATTTTGTTTAATTTTAACCTTCGTTCGTTTTGCAATTTATCAATTTTTTCGATCAAGGCCTTTTCTGTTAACTTAACAGTGCGTTTTTGAGTTTCCCCCCCACTCGCCATCTGTTCAGTCTCAGTATTGTTCTCCATTTCCACAGTGCGTGATTCCATTACGCATAAACAGTCAGTAACGCGCGTCGCAATAAGAGTTCGCTTGAAGTCAGCGCACCGCCAAGTAAAGTCACTTATGTGCCTCAAACGAAAAAAGGGCCACACTCAACTTTACCTTCCAAACGCCGCAAACCGCAAATACCAATGCATTGGATTTAATGTGTGCACACAATTGGCCATCAAAAGGTGTAGCGCTACACATACCTCGTTGGGCGCCTTTACTGTAATTCACCGTCGTCCAACCTGACACGTGAAGAGTCTCCGTGGTGCTCCAGCTTGGCTCCTCCGGCTGCGGTGCTCCACCGCCCCGGTCGGCTCCTCAGCTGCCGCTGGTGTCCAACGACGTCTTTGCCGCTCCGTTCCCAAGGCATCAAAGTTCAAAGAAAGTCCAAAAAAGGACAAGTTTTTGACAGTATAATAGCCAGTCTAATACTGTGCTAGAGTTGTTGTCCCGTAGCTACTTGTTATGACACGCCAGGCAGCTAATGTTGAACTTGTTGTTACGTGCAAAGTAACTCCATAGGCATCGTCTTCGTTGCAATATTACCATCTTTATTGTCCTCCACATAACTGCACAGCACACAAGGTCCACAAGCACGAAGATTCCCAGAACTTCACACGACAACAGCATTCATCAAACTCCGCCGTAGCGGTCAAAAACTTGTTTGCCCTTCCGGGTCAACACCTCCCTACTACCTGTTGACCCCTCACATATATACATGAGCCTACAGCACCATCTAGTGGCCCAAAATAAAAGATACACACATTTGGCTCTTACACACGGGTCCTGGAAATCCTTGAAAGTTTGTGAATCTGGAAAAGGAAATGTGCTGGAAAGTGCTTGAATTTATTTTGTGCAAGACGTTTTCTGGAAAAAAAACTGAATTCGCTAATGTGTTATTCCGCCAGCACTGCGTGGCCTGTGCGCACTAGCTTGCTTGATTTACGTTAGTTACGCACATTTACGCGTTACGTTCAGTATTTCCCGCATGAGGTACTTTGTGTTGTACTTTGCCATGACGTTTATGCGCGCACGAAACTACTACGATGGAACCTCAACGTTTGTTGTTAGACACAATAAATATGTGATTTGCTGGAAAGTCCTTGAAACTGAAGTTAACCGAGGTGTGGGAACCCTGTGCCCAGCATTAAATGGCAAACGAAATGAAAGCGGAACGAAACTGCGCTACTCATTATGCGTTTCACGGACCATTTATTAGTTCGGACCAATAATAGAATCTCAATCACGATCACGCGACACTGTTACTACACATCACTGCGAGATCGTTTGAAGGAATCCATTGAATTCACCACAGAATTAATAACATCACTGTGAGATCCAGTGAGAAACATTCAGATTCGGATTCAGAGTTCTCTCTTATAAACCATATCAGATCAAACAGCGCTGACGTGGAAACCAGGAGAAACATTATGCCATGAATGAACAAGTTATAGAAGCTTTAAGTCCACAGATCAGCAACATTCACCATGGGTTTACTGTAGTAACACTCACTGTAACCGCGGTATTGTGGCAGAAATAGTCTAAAGCTCACATCCACTTCACATCTTTTTCCAGCACTACAAAACTATAATATCATATTTAAATGTTATTTTTAATGTGATGACCAAAACAATTTTTGGTTCATCCTTCAAAGATTGTCCCCATTTATAATGTAGGAAAGATGTAAGATGTAGGAAAACTCACACTTATTTAAAAATAAAAAAAGATTAGATGACCATTGTAACAGTAGGTGGCAGCAGAGGCTTATTAGCTATTTTCACTCCCTAATATCTATTTTTTTCACTCGTTTTGCTCTTGAATTAATATTAACAACATTATGAATGATAATAATTAAAGTTAATTTTATCTACACCTCAAATTAAGCTCAATGTTTTATTGTTAGTCTGGAGCCCTATGAACTTAAAGGTGCAGTGTGTAATATTTAGGAGGATCTGTTCACAGAAATGCAATATCATATTCATAACTGTTTTCAGTGGTGTATAAAGACCTTACATAATGAACTGTTATGTTTTTATTAGCTTATAATGAGGCGTTTCTCTCTACACACACCGCGGGTCCGCTTACAGCGACATGTTTCTACGGTGGCCCTGAACGGACAAACACTATTTTGTTCCTCGTGCAGAGAAGCTTCAGCTAAAGTCAGAGTCACAATAATATTCACAATAACATCGTTTCACTGAATAATAAACACAATTTCTTAATTTATCTTTGTAAAGAAACCTCATTGTTTAACTGGCTACTCTCTGCTGTCTCAGACGACGACATCACTTCCTGTCGGCCTGTTCTGTTGGGTGCGATTCACAACCTCACCACTAGATGCCGCTAAAACTTACACACTGCACCTTTAAAATAAAACTGCATGTTGTAATACAGTCAAAATGGGGGGAAATGTGAATAACTGTGTTGCAGGTTTGATTTAAAGGGTTAGTTCACCCAAAAATGAAAATGTCGTCATTATTGACTCTCCCTCATGTCGCTCCAAGCCCGTCAGACCTCCGTTCATCTTCGGGACACAGTTTAAGATATTTTAGATTTAGTCCGAGAGCTTTCTGTCCCTCCATTGTAAATGTATGTACGGTATACTGTCCTTGTCCAGAAAGGAAATAAAGACATCATCAAAGTAGTCCATGTGACATCAGTGGGTTAGTTAGAGTGTGTTGAAGCATCGAAAATACATTTTGGTCCAAAAATAACAAAAACTACGACTTATAGAAACTGTGTCCCGAAGATGAACGGAGGTCTGACGGGCTTGGAGCGACATGAGGGTGAGTCAATAATGACGACATTTTCATTTTTGGGTGAACTAACCCTTTAATGTGTATTTTCTTACATTTTCATCCTGTGCTCCTAAAAGTGTTGAGTTCAGACAGTCATTCTTCAGCATTACTCATGTACTGTCGTCCGCAGAGAGCTGGCTCGTGAGATGGGACACCCGTGGGCCGAAGACTGGGATTTCCTCCAGTGCTTCATCGACCTGTCCAGCAGGGAAGGGTTGCAGATGCTGGACGAGCACCTGAGGTCCACTGAGGCCCGTCTGGGCAGAACATCACGGCTGACTCTTAATCCGGCAGACGACGAGGAGCCGGAAGGATCCCGACGCTTCCCGGTCTGTGACCTCATGCAGGAGTTCGAGAAGGTTTTGCTCTCGGCGGATCACATGATCAGATGTGATGAAGCAGACGACGGGTCCAGTATCAGCTCTGAGGAGTATTTCACAGCTGATGAAGATGATGATGACAGACCATCTTCATCGGCATCGGATTCGGGATCATCGTTTAAATCCACTCGCAGCTCAGCGGACCGGGACACCGGCTCTGTGGATCGACACCGATCGGACGTTTATATCCTAGGGTGAGGAATCACACAGCCGGAGGAAAGTGCTTTATTACAACATACAGTCAAACACACACCAGATATCAGTTTTATATGTTTTACTAGTGTGATCAGGACACTAATGTTCACTTATGTAAGTGAGGAGAGCAAGATTAAAGTGAACTGTGAGATATTATACACAAATATTCTTCATACAGTGACTACCAGTAAAAATATGGGACCAAAAAGTCTTCCTCCACTTTGAGCTGATCATGTTTTGCTGAAGTGTGTTTTCTGTAATTGCTAATGCTCTTTTTACACACAGACTGAACAACATGAAGCATTGCTTGGTCACTGGTTGAGCTAAACTGGTATTATCTAATTGTGTAGTTAAATTTAACAGCTGACAGATATTCAACATAATTCATGTGTGAGAGTCTAACAGAAGGACGGACAAAACCAGTCAAATATCCACTGAGTTCTGCTCATATTTAATCAACATTTTCTAAACTATAGCGAATAAACTGTGATAATGTGAGAAATGTTGAAGGTGTCTGAATAAGTTTTGGTTTATTCATTCTTTTGCCTTTACGTTGGCTAGTGATTCTCCCTGTAAACTGGACTGTGAGGTTCTGCTGGCGCTGAGCGGCGTGGACATCGACCCGCTCTCGCTCCCCAGCGTCGCCCGGTGGAGGGACAGGGTCATGACCTATTCAGCATCGGAAACACAGAGGTAGAGAAACATGTCAAAATAAATAACTTATTAGAAAGTAAGATTAAACTAAAGAAATACATTTCATTAAAAATAAATAAAAATTGATTTAAATGAAAAATAAATATTTAACTAAATTAGCAAAAATATTGGATTTAAAAATAAAAAACATGATTTAAGTAAATAAAATTGATTAAAATAATATAATAATTGTATTTAAATAATTAATAATACTAAAACAATCATAAATAATAATAAATAAATAATACATCCAGCTGAACAGTACGATGCTATGAAATAATGTAATTAAAACTACATAGGAATGTATTAAAATAAAAATATTAAAATGAAAAAGAAATTATTTTCAATAAAGATTCAAATAAATTAAACATGATTTAAGAAACTAATTTGGTTAGAATAAATGAATTAAAATAAAACTGGATTTTAATAAATTATTTCTAACAGTACAGTATGATAGCAAGTAAATAATGCAATTAATTAACCTTATAGAAACTAAATAAATAAAATGAAAAAATAAATTAATTTCAATAAATAAATAAATAATTGGTTCAGATAAATTAGCAGATTTTATTAAAATAAATTGATAAGAAAAAAATGATTTGATGTAACTAAATAAATGCCTAAATAAACAAAAGCATTTGATTTAAAATGAATAAATGAAACTTGATGTAAGTAAATAATACATTAACAGTACAGTACAACAGAATACAATGACATTGTAATAGAAACTTATTAAATAAAAACATGATATAAATAAATAAAGTTGAATAAAATAAAAAATGTATTAAATAAAAAAATGTATTTCAGCAAATAAATAATAAATTAATACATTTAATAGATAAAATAAATAGATATAAAAATAAATAGATAAAAATAAATAAAACATTATTTAAATCTGTACATGATTAAAAAAAGAAGAAAAAAAAGAAAATTCTAATTAATGAATTAATCAAATTTGGTGTGAAATAAACAAAAGCATATACATAAATAAATAAAACAATTAAAAATATTAATATATTTAAACGAATAAGTAGATTACAAATGAATGAAATGAATGAATTAATTTTAATTAATAAGCAATCTAAAACACGAACAGTACAGAACTATAGTGAGTAGAAAAGAATGCAAAGATGTAATGTAATAGAAAACATATATTTTCCAAACAGTATTTTACACATAATTATAATATAAAATGTTCACAGTATTAACTGGGCCTTTATACTTAAAATATGTCATTGCCTTTTAAATACGAGGATCATATTTGAGGGTCTAAAAGATTTTTCAACAATAACTTTTATCAAATATTCTTACTTTTATCTATCGTATTTTACGGACGTTAAGTCGCACCGGACTGTAAGTGGCACCGGGTCAAAATTGCATTGAAACGTTTACAAAATCATAAACGGGTATTTTAGTTTAGTTCTGCACGAATACACTGGGCTTTCGTTGATCTCACCCGGCACGAATCTGAACGTTTGCACGTTTGCATGCTTGATGTTTATTGCATTACAGTTGCAGCGTGTTTCATAGGATAAAAACACGCCTTGTATTCTGTAAAATGCAATGAAATGAAATGTTGTGTGTGATCTCCAGCTGGCCGTCAGCTTCACCGAGTCGCAGTCCATCGGCCTTCACACTGAAGCGGGTCACCGTCTCCCCGAAGCCCAGGAGCGCCGGTCACTTTCACCCGGGACAGTTCATGTTCAGTCCACCGAGCAGAGCCTACACTCGCCTTTAACCAGAGGTCCTCTGACACACACACTGAGATCTGTCACACTCTTCAAGCTCTTAGATTCACATTTTATATCAGCTGATTTTTACCAGTTCCTAAACACTAATGCAAGTTAAAGAATATGTTTCCATGTTTGCACAGCAGTTGTGTTGCCTTTATCATGCTGGAGTTATTAATGTTTGCATCATATTTAATTTATAATGTAATGAAATGTGTTTCTTTGTTACATAAAGACTTAAGAAAACAGTTGTGTCGGTATGTTTTCTGAGTCCAGAATGAGGAGATCGTGTTGCAGGATTAATGGTGTTTATCCTCTGACCAGCAGTGAAGGACTCGTTACTGGAAACAGCTTTTATTATTGGGAAACTTCTCAGATTATCACACAAAAATCAATTACCAGATCAGAGATCATTTAACATGACTTTCTCAAATTAATTTGCGTTTTATAAATGTTTAAAAATGTAAAAATAAATAAAATAAAAAAATTATTAAAAATAAGTGAATAAAAATGCATTTAAATGAATATATTTGATTACAATACATTTCTTAAAATAAATTTAATTTAATGTAAATACACAATTAAATAAACAAAAAAGTTGCCCTAAAGTCAATAAAAGGAATTAAAATTCCACAAAGAAATTAATTTAATGCTGTGTATAGTATATTGGCAACACTTTAAGTTAAAATACACAGACACGTGGAACAATAACACACATGATCCTTTATTGTTAAAGAGAACATCACAAAAGCAAACGTTAAGAACAAACTTTACAGTGAAGTAGGAGACATCTCGTGTTCAGCACTTACACTTTTATGAACAACATTTACTTACTCAAAGATTCAGAAGTCTTCAACGAGGAAGGAGGAGCAGATGTCATTTTAATGATTTCTAAACCGGAAACAGGACTAAAATATTTCTGATGCTAGACATTCGAAGCAGCAGATTATATAATGTCTTAAACGTGTAACATGCAGGAGAGCATCATGACATCATCACTGTGCAGCAAAACACAGATCAGATACACATGTGGATCACAAGATGAGAGTAAATACATTAAAGGATTAGTTCATTTAAAAAAAAAACTTTTCCTGATAATTTACTCACCCCCATGTCATCCAAGATGTCCATGTCTTTCTTTCTTCAGTCGAAAAGAAATTAAGGTTTCAACATTTACACAGAGTGATTCGTTAATTTTGTGTTGACAGCATATCTATGTGCGGTCAACACAAAATGAACGAATCACTCTCTGAGACTCTGAGACTCTTAATGTTGATGCAGTTATTCTGTTTATCTGTGTTTGTTATCATGTTGTGGTTTTAGTACTGTGTATAGCACATTGGTCAACGGAAGTTGTGTTTAATGGTGCTTTAAAATAAAATTATAATAAAATTATTGATTGACATGGGGGTGAGTAAATTATCAGCAAAAGTTTTTTTTAAAGTGAACTAATCCTTTAAAATATTACAATGGAAGTTTTATCAACACTTTTTTTCCCTCTTTAAGTTACTATGTTATTATTATTATGATGTTATTATTTTTGTCCATTTTTATGCCTTTATTGACAGGACAGCTGAAGACATTAAAGGGAGAGAGGGGGGGGGGATGACATGCAGCAAAGGGTCGAAGGTCGGGGTCAAACCCAGGCCCGGTGGATCCAAGAGTACACCTCTACATCTGATCTACATCTGATCTACATCTGATCTACATCTGATCTACATCTGATCTACATCTGATCTACATCTGATCTACATCTGATCTACATCTGATCTACATCTGATCTACATATCACCGCTACATCTGAGCGATCCCTTATCAACACCACATATCTACACTAGCCTTCAGCTGACGGCACAGTGAATGAACCACGCTCACGGATTCGAGAGTAGAGATTGTTCTTGATATTTAAAAAATAACTCTTTAAACCTTTGATCGGTTCATAATTTGAGTAAACAATATCCATTAAAGGCCCCATAACTTCTTTTCCATAACTACACGGGCTAGGAGCGTATACAGACACACTAACACTACATCCTTCAATTTCATTATTATACATTCTACATGGCTCATAGTCTATCGTTGTTTCATAAACAAACCACATAGAATCACTTATAAACACATCTGAATTGATCTTGTAGGTCTTGTATTTCTCCAGCATAAGATCCAGGAACCGTAAATACACATTGATTGCAGCTTTGATTTCACGAACACAGTCTAATGCGGATTTTCCAGCCTGAATATCCAGGCGAGCCTCGTGGATCAGCATCTGCACGTGGAAGGCGGCTCCGTTGACCCAGATCTTGAACCCGCGGGTTTTCATCTGTCCGTCCTTCAGAAGGGAGTTTCTGAGGACGGTGAGATGGTTGCTCAGCTGCTGTTCCAGTCTCCTTATTTCCTCCCGTAATCGTTGGTTATTGTTCATGTACATTTCATGGCGTTTCAGATACTTTGACATTGTGTCTCGGACACTCGAAGCTTTCTCTTCCCCAAACACTCGTCGTAACAGACTGTATGTGTCATCATCTCTTGTCTGAGTGTTGCTCTTGATAGCGATCTCTATGATCATGGAAATCACCAGAGCTCCAAGTCCAACAGCGTTCGGGACTGGAGTCAGTGCACCAAAGGCAGACCCGATATCATGGACGTAACCCGGCACCTTGTGGACCATCTCCTCAGAGTAAGCCTGCAGCACAGCGTTAGAGTCGGAGCCAGAGTATTTCAGCAGAGACTCATCTATGCCTATATCTGGTAAGAGGCATGGTACATGCTGTACAACGCATCTATACGTCTCAAGAGCAGACCTCTCAAAGTCCTCTTGTGAGAATGAGACGCCCATGATTATTCCTCTCGATCTGTGATCACTAAAGTTCAGATGTCCAGCAGACTGACCACTATAATCAGAATACTGAGACCAAATCCAGCAGCTCCCTCACATATAACCCACAGAGCAATGTGACAACAGCCAATCAGAGCTCTGGAAAATGGTTAGGCGTATTTGTTGACTTCTCTCTAAAGTCCAATGTGTTCAAGGACCAGAAAAACTAATTGTGCCGCATGAATCTACATTTACAGTCTGCTATTCAAACACAACCCTAATGCAGTGATTAGAGATTGTTCCTAGCCTAGAAATCTAGACGCACCCTAGCGGCAGCAAAAATTATTTTGCAGCAAAGTGTGGTCTAGCAACTCTCCATAGACTTTTGAGCTGGAAAAACCAAAAACTGGTCCGGCCAATCAGATCGTGTAGAGTTGGTGGGCGGGCTTAATATAATGACGGCAGAGTTGTGATGGTTCTGCGTGATTTCCATAGGTGATTTCCCTCTGCTTGAAAACAAAGAAGATGCTGCTGGCGAACAGCGGTCTTTCGAATCGGCTTTGGCCGCGACTCTCGATGACTTGGAGTTAAGAGAACGTCACTTAAGTCATTCCTAAAAAAGGAAGATGTGTTCGGAGTTTTGACGACCGGATACGGCAAAAGTTTAATATACCAACTAGCTGGTCACTGGTGGAAAAACGCATGGGACTCACTCAGCCACAGCCGTTCGTTGCTCTGGTTGGTTGAAGCGCTGTCCTATTGCATGCAGAGGGATATTGAAAGACAACCGTTTATCCCGCCCCTCGGATTGAGGTATGCCAATTGGGAGTTCCCAGACCTAACATCTTGATGTAGGTCTGGCTTGCCAGGCTAGATTGTTCCTTCATGAGCATTATAAGTGTTTTATGAGCTACTTAAATAAAGAAAACCTTCACAGAATCCACATCAGAAACAGAAACATAATCAGGATATTGACTTAACCTCGTCAGCATTTATACTGTACTATATTGAGTGTGTGTGTGTGTGTGTGTCTCTGTCTGTGTGTCTCTCTGCGTGTCTGTGTGTGTGTGTGTGTGTGTGTGTGTGTGTGTGTGTGTCTGTGTGTGTGTGTCTCTGTCTGTGTGTCTCTCTGTGTGTGTGTGTGTGTGTGTGTGTGTGTGTGTGTCTCTCTCTGCGTGTGTGTGTGTGTGTGTGTCTGATTCTTTCATTAGGGTTGTATTTGAATAGCAAACTATAAATGTAGATTAATGCGGCACAATTTTTTTTTCTGGTCCTTGAACACATTGGACTTTAGAGAGAAGTCAACAAATACGCCTAACCATTTTCCAGAGCTCTGATTGGCTGTTGTCACACTGGTTATATGTGAGGGAGATATGAAGGTAAAAGAGTAGCAAAACTCAAGAGTAGATGTGAATTTGAGAACTTGTACAATAAATATCCGTACGTGTACAATAACATCTACAGTCACAGCTCCAATGTGAAAACCTGTACAATACAAATCTGAAGTTGAATGTTGAATTTTTTGACCATCATGCAACATTTGGTACAATTAACATATATTTTGCTTTATGTATATGATATTTTTTTTTGTTATATTATCCATTTCCAATAAACCAGTATTACAATCCATAAACAAGACCATTACATCAGTTTAATATCGTGACAAATTTGTAAAACACTTCAAAAATAAACATAGAAACTTTGAACCAAAATAATGTGGTATACTTACAACTATAAAATACATGTACAATTGTTTCTGTTTCTTCTTTACAAAAACAACATAATGGAGAAACCCCTTTTTTAAAACTTACTAATAAAATCATTACATGGATAATATCTAATATTTTAAATTGAGTTTCTTTTAATGTATTAGCATACATAACTGAAAGTTTAATTACATATTATGTATTTTGTGTTTTCTTTGGAATGCCAGACACATCGCAGATCCAGGATCCTGGCAATACTACAAATTATTCAGTATAAGCTCAAGTTACTATTAACGCTGTTTCTTTGTACCTCTGGAATATAATTTCTTTGCACATCTTTTTAAAATGTAATATGTTTGTACATTGCTTTAACTCATTATTTAGTTTATTCCCCAATTTGAGGCCACTGACAGATAAACAGAAACGTTTCCTAGTAGTTCAAAAAACTGGGAGTCTTAAAATTTGACATTCCCCTTAAATCTCTTTCAAAAAACCTTTTCTGTATATTGCCAGGCAATATATTGTTTCTAGCCTTGAACATAAATGCAGCTGTTTGAAATTCAACCAGATCTATTAGTTTTAATTTAGACTGTGAAAATAATGAATATATGTTCAAAATATCCTGTGTTATGAATTATTCTTATTGCTCTTTTTTGAAGTATAAATAATGATTGCAATGAATTTTGATATGTGTTTCCCCAAACCTCTACAATACTTTAAATACGGTACCACCAGTGAACAATACAAACTGTATGGTGATAATCCAGAATGTGCTTAGCTTTAGTCAGGATTGAGACACTTCTGGACAGTTTTGTTTGGATATATTTTATGTGAGATTTCCAACAAATCTTGGCATCTATAATCACTCCAAGGAATTTCATTTCATATACTCTTTCCATGTTAACATTTTCTTTAACAGAAATTGCTTGATTGAACAATTGCCAAATATCATAAATTTAGTTTTACTTAATGATAACTTGTTTATATCAAACCACTGTTTTATTTTTCTGAAGTCTAAAGTGATTAAGTCCAAGAGTTGCTCCAAATTCTGACCAGAACCAAAGATATTTGTGTCGTCTGCAAAAAACACATATTTCAGTAGTTCAGATAGCTTACATATTTCATTTATGTAGAGAATACATCATTTTAGTCCCAATACTGACCCCTGGGGGACACCACACGCAACACCCGAACAATCAGATGTATAATCTCCCAACTTCACAAATTGTTTCCTGTCTTTTAAATATCTGTAATTCAGCACTATTGATCCCGAGCCTTTCCAGTCTAATGATTAATATTTCATGATTAACGCTTTTTTCAAAGCAATAAATACCCCACCTCCATATTTCTTTTTGTCTGTAGAATGTGTAATGTCTTCAATGAGTTCAGTTAAAGCTATAGTGATGTTGACCTACTTTTTCCTGAATCCATATTGACTGTCAATAAGTAATTTGTATTTATCAATGAATTTGTCAAATCTGTCATTGAAGAGTTTTTCTAGAATTGTAGAGAATTGTGGCAGTAGAGAGACAGGCCTGGAATCTGTGGTGATTATCTCCAGATTTGTACAGAGGTATGACTTTTGCTGTTTTCATTTTTGTTGGAAATTGACCAGTTTGGAATGACAAATTAAAAATATAAGTTAAGGTTTTGAGATCCCCTCAATTACATTCTTTACTATCTTCATATCTATTTCGTTGCAATCAGTGGATGCTTTAGATGCATTTTTTAACAATATCTATTATTTCCTTTTCATACTGCTTTAAGAAACATAGAACATTGATTTCTTTCAATAAGATCATTATGGGCCCTATCGTACACCCAGAGCAATTGACTTTGTACAGCGCCACACGGGTCATTCCTCTTCTGCACCCACACAGCGGACGTTCCTGATGCTATTTTTATTTAATTTATTTATTGTTAATTTGAATAGGGACAGATACAAAAAAAACACATAGATTATTACATAAAGAACAATCCGATGCCTGTATCACAGTGTTTATAGCCATGGCTAATTCGCAACACCTGTCCCTAGAAGGGCTTTTAACAGTTAAGATAATAAAGAAGTAAAAAAAAATTACAGTGAATACAATAAAATGTCCAGAAACCAGTTAGCACCAATAAAAAATAGTGAATAAACACATTCACTCGAACTCACACAGATGCACACCTCACATACACACATTTCATATGGCATGATCACACTGCTGCTGCTGTATGAACCAGGCGTTTGTTAGTTTTTTGATGGTGGACAGTTTAGTTAAAATCTTTATATTTGTAGGAAGCAGTTCCACAGATTGGCTCCTTTCACAGAAAAAAACATTTTGGGCAAAAGATGTTTTAAAAAATGTAACTTTACAGTCTCCACATGTAGCAGCTCTGGTTCCAGCCGGTTTACAAAGTGGCTCAGGTGCAAGTCCAGTCAAACAACTTAATGGGTCTAAGATTAACAAAATTAAATATTTTATGTTTACTTAAAATATAACAGTGATGGAATCGAATGGGCTTTTCATCTAAGATTTTCAGGGCATGGTTATAAAGCCTCTCAATAGGCCTTAGGGTAGTTTGGCTGGTCTGGGACCAGTACGACAGGTGGGACAGGATCATAGTGTTCAGAAAGACACGAGCACATTCAAATGTTAGACCGCTCCTGATCATTCTGAAACAGTTCATACTGGCCTTCATTTTTCTTGAGATGTTTTTGATATGACTTTTAAAATGTAGCTGAGAATCTAAAATCACTCCTAAATATTTTTCTTGCTCTACCTGATCGATGAGTTCGCCATTCATTTTAATGTTAAGGTCATTTATTGTCCGAGTTCTTATCGAAAAACACATAGACTTAGCTTTCCTCAGATTAAGGGTTAAACAGGATTTGTTTAGCCAATTCAACACTTTCTCAAGACTTTTGGTCAGTGTACTGCCGATAACAGCAGGGCTTTTGCCAGACACATAAACCACCGTGTCATGGGCATACATCTGAAGGCCAGCTTCAGGACACACACTTCAGGAGACACACTTCAGGACACACACTTCAGGACACACACTTCAGGACACACACTTCAGGACACACACTTCAGGACACACACTTCAGGACACACACTTCAGGACACACACTTCAGGACACACACTTCAGGACACACACTTCAGGACACACACTTCAGGACACACACTTCAGGACACACACTTCAGGACACACACTTCAGGACACACACTTCAGGACACACACTTCAGGACACACACTTCAGGACACACACTTCAGGACACACACTTCAGGACACACACTTCAGGACACACACTCCAGGACACACACTTCAGGACACACGCTTCAGGACACACACTTCAGGACACACACTTCAGGACACACACTTCAGGACACACACTTCAGGACACACACTTCAGGACACACACTTCAGGACACACACTTCAGGACACACGCTTCAGGACACACACTTCAGGACACACACTTCAGGACACACACTTCAGGACACACTTCAGGACACACACTTCAGGACACACACTTCAGGACACACACTTCAGGACACACACTTCAGGACACACACTTCAGGACACACACTTCAGGACACACACTTCAGGACACACACTTCAGGACACACGCTTCAGGACACACACTTCAGGACACACACTTCAGGACACACGCTTCAGGACACACACTTCAGGACACACACTTCAGGACACACACTTCAGGACACACTTCAGGCAGCTCGTTCACACACAGGCTGAAGAGAATAGGCCCCAGTATGGTTCCTTGAGGGATTCCGGTCTTAATTTTACATGGGGCAGATTTTACATGATCAATAACTACACATTGTTCTCGTCCCTGTAAGTATGACTCGAACCACCATAATGCCTGGTGTGACGTGTTATAGGATGACAGGTTTGAGATAAGACGGCTATTGTTTACTGTATCAAAGGCCCTCTTTAAGTCCAGGAATACTGCACCCACGATGTGTCCTTTATCAAGCGGCTGCACAATATTTTCCAATAAAATACTGTTGAGGGTGTAAATACTGATGTGATTTTGCAGGTCCATAAAACAATTCCGCCACAGATCAGGAGAAACCTATTCTAAAGACAGTTGTGCGTTATTCAGACGCTATTTTAAAGGGGTCATTTAATGCCATTTTTGTACAAGTTAATATGAATCTTTAGGGTCTAAATGAAAACTTTGTAATATACTTTTATTAAAAATTCTCATTAGTATTGTAAGAAAACACTAATTTTACCTGGTCAAAAACAGCTGTTTTCAGCACGCCGTTTCAGTGCATGTGCCTTTAAATGATAATGAGCTTCGCTGACTCCGCCCCTCTGTTCTGCGGGCGTTTCGCACAGTGCACGTGGAGTGTTGCCTTGACAACAGTTGAGGGGATATTTTGGAGAGAGAACGGCAGCGAGTCTCTGAGGACACATCTGTGCAACCGTATCAGTTTGAACCGGAGTCGCACCGGGAACAAGATGACGGCCCGAAGAAGTTCGACAGTTAAGGCTCGAGCAGGACGTTTCTGAATGGTTGGTTAACGTCATGTCACTTTGATCTATTTTTGTATGTACTGTCGTTTACTGATGTATAGGTTAGTTCGTTGACAGATTGATGTTACAGTTAATGATCATGAACAACTTTTTTTCGCGATTTGCAAAGATTAATATAAAGGTTAATAACACGTTACACTCACTTCTTCTGGAGGTGCAGCAGGAAAATGAATAGTTGGTACCGATTCTTTTTTCAGGAGCAGCTTAGCAAAACCAGCTTTAATTTGTGTTTTATAAATGTTTAAAAATGTAAAAATAAATAAAATAAAAAATGTATAAAAAATAAGTGAATAAAAATGCATTTAAATGAACATATTTGATTACAATAAATGGCTTCAAATAAATTTAATTTAATGTAAATACACAATTAAATAAACAAAAACATGATTTAAATAAATAACATTTTATATAAATACATAAATAAATAAACACACCCACTGACCCTCATGCCCCACCCTCTGTAAGCACACCCACTGCCATTATGCTCCACCCACTCCTCAACACCTGCTCTTCCCTCTGTAAGCCACGCCCACTGACCGTCAAGCCCCGCCCTCTGTAAGCCACACCCACTGGCCCTCAAGCCCCGCCCTCTCAGCATCCCCAGTATAAATACACTGAACTGACAGGAGAAAGACACTGAGGATTTAAACACTGATGCTGCTGCTGCTGCTGCTGCTGCTGATGATGATGATGATGATGATGATGATGATGATGATGATGATGATGATGATGATGATGCTGCTGGTGTGTGTCTGATGTGATGAGTGTGTGATTGTTGGGCTGATTGATGGATGTTGCAGATGAACGATGCGCAGGAGCAGCGCTTATATCCCAGTGTCCACCGCTGCCGCTCTGCTGGTCTCTTCATCCACACTCTTCTTCGTCTTCACGTAAGTCACACACACACACACACACACACACACACACAGCAAACAACAGCCGTCATTTCACCGTCTAGATTAACTATAGATTAACTATAGACCCGATATAGTCCGGCTGAGTAAAACACGTCTAGCCAAAATAACCTTGAATTTGGTTACATGTCATTTTGCCAAAATAATTTGAGATGTGTGATATACCATCATGTAAGCTAAGTCAGCAGTGATTACAAGCTGTTCGGTTTCATTTCTTTGACATGTTCTCTAACTGATGTCTAGTCTGTGCGTGGGTGATGGTCAGTCGTCCCAGACGCCAGGCTGTGTTTGGACGCTATCAGACGTCTTTTAAACGCAGAATTGCATGCTGGGAATCTTCCTCCATTCACAAAACAGTTTTTATTTTCCTTTACCTTTAACTTTTACAGACACAAGACCTCCTGATTTTCTTTCATGCCACTTTTTCTCATACACAACGTTCATGTTGATGGAAGAAACTAGTTAGTTTTGATAGTTTCTGAAGTTGTGTTTTATCAGGTAAGCATCGGCACAATCACAAGCTCTCTCTTAAACAGTGTGGTTTATTTTAAACAGGACAGCACAGTATATAAACTCCATAATGAGATGTGATTTTAATCCAGCACTGAAAGTAGGGCAGCGAGCCACTGCTTATGCTGATATACAACCATTATAACATTCAATTCACATTTATTTGTACAGCGCTTTTCACAACACACATCATTTCAAAGCAGCTTAACAGAAAATGACAGAGTCCATATTACAGTGTACAGTGATCTGTTATCAGAGGAGACTGTCTGAGTTATGTATTTCAGAAATGTACATATCCCAAATCACAGTTAGCTAAAAATGTATTAATGTAAACAATGTAATAATTAAAGGCAGAAACAATGAGCTCACTGAAGTAATGAATACTTGCTCTACATTGAGAAACATGTTGCATTGGTGCGTGTCGATTCAGATAACGTCTCTTCTGAGTCTCTAAAACACACGATTGTGATTCTTAATTTGCATTGCTGCACTTTTCATATGCACATGCATGTTGAGAATGAGCACTTTATGCATTGAGATGAAAGGCGGATCTGATTTGATCAGGTGTTGTGGATGAGCTGGATTGTTATGGAATGACCTTTGAAACCGTATCTGTCCCAGATTTCATGCAGTTTTGCACGATGGCACCAGCAGATGGGAAGTTCGGGATTAGGATTTGCTCCCAGTGCTGTTTTATTCCCCGTTCAGGAGTCAGGACACATCGAGGTGTTCACCCGGCGTGTGACCTCCGTTGCAGGAGTTTAAGCTCACAGAAACCACATCTGTCGGGCTTCACACGAAACGCTCGGATGTGGGAATAAATAAGAGTTTGTAATAATATTTCACTATTTTTTCTGCATTCCTCATCAAATAAATGCATTGGTGAGCAGAAGCGGCTTGTATCAAAGACACAATGTAAATCAATATTGTATCAATATTACAAATTAAATCAGCTGTGTTCTATGCGAATATAGAGTAAAGTGTAATTTATTCCTGTGATCAAAGCTGAATTTACTTAATTAAAAATACAGTAAAAATCACAAAATATTATTCCAATGTAAATCAGCTGTTATCTATGTGAATATACAGTAAAGTGTAATTTTTTCCTGATGCTCAAGAAACATTTATGATTATTATCAATTATGAAAAAAACAATAGTATCTGAATGATACTAAAATAACACTGGAATCTTGACAAAGAAGCAGCTCAAATATAAGCACGTTTTCATCACAACATTTGTGTTATTTGTGCTTTCATCACTGCACTATTATTATAACATGAATAATGAAGATATGCATCCAAACCTTGATTTGAGATTGATTTGTTGTGCAAATCAGTCTTACTTTGAATGATTTATATCACTTTTGAGTGAATAATTTTGATTCATTTGAAAAAATTATTACTATTCCATAATTTTCAGCTTTTATTTGATACCGTGTTTATATTGTAAATGCTCCACCGGAGTCTCTGGGAATGCATGCCGATTTCCCAGCATGCACTGTGCTTGTGTAAAGCATGATTTTCCCCAGGTTATTTATGAGTAATCCAGTTTGCTTGTACCTGTAATAAGTGATTATGAGTTATTTTGGATAAAAGTGTCTGCTTATTATTAGAACAGATCAGTGTGTTCTGATCGGAAACAGTGAACTTTAGTTTATGACTAGATCTACTAGTGGAAGAATCACACAGATCAATCGGATCATAATATTTGTATTATATAGTGTTTTATATTATATTATTATTATTATTATATAGTGTTTTTTAAAGCAATATAACACACAAGTTAAATAGAGGTATCATTGAGATACTATTATAGTTTTTAATATTTTTAATTAGTTTAATTAGTTAATTATTTTAGTTTCAGGCACAGGGATGATCCAGGTAACATGAGTAACACATGACATCTGTTAGCTTTACTATGGCTCTGTTTCTCATCAGGGATTGATTGACACATTTATGATTATTATCAATTATGAAAAAAACAATAGTATGAATGAAACTAAAATAACACTGGAATCTAGGCAAAGAAGAAGTTCAAATATAAGCAAATTTTCAGTTGTTTCACGTTTTCATCACTTTCCAGACTTCTATTTGTGTTATTTGAGCTTTCATCACGGCACTATTCTTATTTTTGTTGGATTTCACATGCTACACTGCATTTATTATTATTATAACATGAAGAATGTATGCATCCAAACCTTGATTTGAGATTGATGTGTTGTGCGAATCAGTCTTTCTCTAAATAATTTTTATCACTTTTGAGTGAATTATTTTGTGTTTGTATATTTGCATATTTTACTGACGCTCATGTCTGTGTGTATTTGCTGCTGTTAGCTTTACTATGGCTCTGTTTCTCATCAGGGATTGGAGTGTGTGTGCAGATGGTCAGAAATCACAGAGACATCGGCAGTAATCCGTTGATAAGAAATCAGGATCTTAAAGAGAAAAGCCTTTGTCCTCACACAGAAATCATTTGTTCATGACCTATATTCAGTGATTAACTCACTTTCCCACAGCTTATGCGTTATATATTGCCATGCATCTGAGTGGTGTTTGATGGTGCTGACTGTGTAGGAAACAGTTCTGAAAGTGATATTCTGATTATGAGATCAAAACACAATAAAGTTCATGTAATAATAATATCAGCCTGATCTGAGACCAGCTGCATTCGGATCAGACATGAACACGTGCACATTAACTTCCTTCCTGAAAACAGTGTTCACTGCTTCACAGAATAATTACAGGTGAAACACTTTGAGTTCCCCTGAGAAACTGTGCGTTCCCCTGAGAAACTTTGAGTTCCCCTGAGAAAATTTGAGTCTCCCCTGAGAAACTGTGCGTTCCCCTGAGAAACTGTGCGTTCCCCTGAGAAACTGTGCGTTCCCCTGAGAAACTGTGCGTTCCCCTGAGAAACTGTGCGTTCCCCTGAGAAACTTTGAGTCTCCCCTGAGAAACTTTGAGTCTCCCCTGAGAAACTGTGCGTTCCCCTGAGAAACTGTGCGTTCCCCTGAGAAACTTTGAGTCTCCCCTGAGAAACTGTGCGTTCCCCTGAGAAACTGTGCGTTCCCCTGAGAAACTGTGCGTTCCCCTGAGAAACTTTGAGTCTCCCCTGAGAAACTGTGCGTTCCCCTGAGAAACTTTGAGTCTCCCCTGAGAAACTGTGCGTTCCCCTGAGAAACTTTGAGTCTCCCCTGAGAAACTGTGCGTTCCCCTGAGAAACTTTGAGTCTCCCCTGAGAAACTGTGCGTTCCCCTGAGAAACTGTGCGTTCCCCTGAGAAACTTTGCGTTCCCCTGAGAAACTTTGCGTTCCCCTGAGAAACTTTGAGTCTCCCCTGAGAAACTTTGAGTTCCCCTGCGAAACTTTGAGTCTCCCCTGAGAAACTGTGCGTTCCCCTGAGAAACTGTGAGTTCCCCTGAGAAACTGTGCGTTCCCCCGAGAAACTTTGAGTCTCCCCTGAGAAACTGTGCGTTCCCCTGAGAAACTTTGAGTCTCCCCTGAGAAACTGTGCGTTCCCCTGAGAAACTGTACTGTGCGTTCCCCTGAGAAACTTTGAGTCTCCCCTGAGACACTGTGCGTTCCCCTGAGAAACTGTGCGTTCCCCTGAGAAACTTTGAGTTCCCCTGAGAAACTGTGCGTTCCCCTGAGAAACTTTGCGTTCCCCTGAGAAACTTTGAGTCTCCCCTGAGAAACTGTGCGTTCCCCTGAGAAACTTTGCGTTCCCCTGAGAAACTTTGAGTCTCCCCTGAGAAACTGTGCGTTCCCCTGAGAAACTTTGAGTCTCCCCTGAGAAACTGTGCGTTCCCCTGAGAAACTGTGCGTTCCCCTGAGAAACTGTGCGTTCCCCTGAGAAACTTTGAGTCTCCCCTGAGAAACTTTGAGTCTCCCCTGAGACACTGTGCGTTCCCCTGAGAAACTGTGCGTTCCCCTGAGAAACTTTGAGTTCCCCTGAGAAACTGTGCGTTCCCCTGAGAAACTTTGAGTCTCCCCTGAGAAACTGTGCGTTCCCCTGAGAAACTGTGCGTTCCCCTGAGAAACTGTGCGTTCCCCCTGAGAAACTGTGCGTTCCCCTGAGAAACTTTGAGTTCCCCTGAGAAACTTTGAGTCTCCCCTGAGAAACTGTGCGTTCCCCTGAGAAACTTTGCGTTCCCCTGAGAAACTTTGAGTTCCCCTGAGAAACTTTGCGTTCCCCTGAGAAACTGTGCGTTCCCCTGAGAAACTTTGAGTTCCCCCGAGAAACTTTGAGTTCCCCCGAGAAACTTTGAGTTCCCCCGAGAAACGTTGAGTTCCCCCGAGAAACTTTGAGTTCCCCTGAGAAACTGTGCGTTCCCCTGAGAAACTGTGCGTTCCCCTGAGAAACTTTGAGTTCCCCTGAGAAACTTTGAGTTCCCCTGAGAAACTTTGAGTTCCCCTGAGAAACTTTGCGTTCCCCTGAGAAACTTTGCGTTCCCCTGAGAAACTGTGCGTTCCCCTGAGAAACTTTGAGTTCCCCCGAGTAACTTTGCGTTCCCCCGAGTAACTTTGAGTTCCCCCGAGTAACTTTGAGTTACCCCGAGTAACTTTGAGTTCCCCCGAGTAACTTTGAGTTCCCCCGAGAAACTTTGAGTTCCCCCAAAAACTTTGAGTTCCCCCGAGTAACTTTGCGTTCCCCTGAGAAACTTTGCGTTCCCCCGAGTAACTTTGCGTTCCCCCGAGTAACTTTGAGTTCCCCCGAGTAACTTTGAGTTCCCCCGAGAAACTTTGAGTTCCCCCAAAAACTTTGAGTTCCCCCGAGTAACTTTGCGTTCCCCTGAGAAACTTTGCGTTCCCCCGAGTAACTTTGAGTTCCCCCGAGTAACTTTGAGTTCCCCCGAGTAACTTTGCGTTCCCCTGAGTAACTTTGCGTTCCCCCGAGTAACTTTGAGTTCCCCCGAGTAACTTTGAGTTCCCCCGAGTAACTTTGCGTTCCCCCGAGTAACTTTGAGTTCCCCCGAGTAACTTTGAGTTCCCCCGAGTAACTTTGAGTTCCCCTGAGAAACTTTGAGTTCCCCCGAGTAACTTTGAGTTCCCCCGAGTAACTTTGAGTTCCCCCGAGTAACTTTGCGTTCCCCCGAGTAACTTTGAGTTCCCCCGAGTAACTTTGAGTTCCCCCGAGTAACTTTGAGTTCCCCTGAGAAACTTTGAGTTCCCCCGAGTAACTTTGAGTTCCCCCGAGTAACTTTGAGTTCCCCCGAGTAACTTTGAGTTCCCCCGAGTAACTTTGAGTTCTCCTGAGAAACTTTGACCTTTTTGAATCATGTCCAACTTTCCGATGAAGTTAAAGAAATCAAAACGTAAACATTTTCGGTCAAAAGTGACTAAAGATCAGTAGAGGGTTTTAAGCACATTTCAATGAGAAATTAGGGGGCAAATGTGCTTAATTGTGATAAAAATTAAAAGCAAAATAAAACCTTCAAAGTCCTAAAATAGGCTTAATCTTTCATGTCATACTAAATATCTTATTGCTTACTACTTGATTTTTTTTTATCTTCTGATTGTCGGTTTCTGTGCTCACAATAGTGTGTTTTCATATGGATCCAGCAGTTTTCTGGCAGACGGATCCTTGATCCGCAGTCAGTAATCTGGGATTAGTGGGACAGACCCTCCCTCCCCCGTTACTACAGGACCACCACTGACACACATAAACCAGACAGAACTGTGTCACGGGCACTACAGAATATGAAGAAATACTGTATGTGACAGAAACAAATCCGCATGCATTTCAGTTGGAACCATATCTTTAATTCGATCTCACGAGTATGGAAATCCATTTCTGCCACATAACGGGGGAAAGAAATCATGCTTTGGTAAATCATAATTATGAGATGAAAAATCGAAATTATGACTTAAAAAGTCATTATTAAATAAAAAGTAAATATTATAATATTACGTTGAAATTACAATACAATACAATATTTATTTATAAAGCACATTTAAAAAAAAAACAAGGCTGACCAAAGTGAAAAGAATAGAACTTAGAAAATAGAAAAATAAAACTACCAAAATTAAAAAGCACACAACAATAGTAAAACAATAAAGTCATAATTATTACATAAAATGTAGAAATTATGACATACTAAATTGAAATTATGACAAAAAGTAAAACTCACGACATACTAAATCGACATTATGACTTTAAAAGTCATTGTTACATAAAAAGTAAATATAACATTAAGTTGAAATTATAATACAATACAATATTTATTTATAAAGCACATTTAAAAACAGCCAAGGCTGACCAAAGTGAAAAGAATAGAACTTTGAAAATAGAAAAATAAAACTACCAAAATTAAAAAGCACACAACAATAGTAAAACAATAATTAAACCTGGTGTCAAGGAGTATGACATAAAAGGTCAAAATTATGACGAGTCAAAATTATGATATACTAGGTCATAATTATTATATAAAAAGTAAAAATGATTACATTCTAAGTTGAAGTTGTAGCATAAATTGAATAAACAATAGCATAAACAATTGAAATTCTTGTTATATTTTTGAGTTTTTATATAATTTCAACTGTCATAATTTTGACTTTTTATGTCATCATAATGATTTACCAGAGCATGACTTATTTTTTCTTATGCGAAACATCCTTCCATACACGAAACATTCATTCAATGAAAACCTGAGTTTAATCTGCGTCCCAGGAGCCGTGATTTACCTCTCCGTTTAATCTCTCGCTCCAGATGTAATCATCCCCTGTTGGGGTTTCTTTTTTCTGGACTGATCCACACTTTCATTTTTGTCTTTGTGCTGGTCCTCGGGGCCGACGGGCCCTCAGATGAGCTCGAGACGGAGCTTCAAACACCACAGGAAGGCGAAAGACGCTTGATTCAACCTTTGCTTGTGAATTATTCAGCCCGCGCTACATTTGATCTAAAGGATGGAACAATGAAGGCAGATCGGAAACGTTCATTGGTGCATTGACATGACGTTGATATATTTTATTAGATTGTTCTTTAAATATAGAAGTGGATTCTCAAAGTCAACATGAAACGGCATTTACAGCCCATTTTACCTGAAGCATTTTTTCAATGCTATAAAATATAGATGGTACTTGATTTTATTCATCAGGAATTTACTGAACAATTAATTAATTATTTTTTTCATGTAGAGGAAATGTGTGTATTAAATATGCTGCAGTAGCTTTATAGGGTTAATAAAGTAAATGTTGTATCTCTCGCAGGTGTCCTTGGCTCGCTGAAAACGTGTCTCTCATTTTCCCACCATGTGTCGGAATCGTGTTCCTCTTTGTTATGGCAAACTTCACCATGGCAACGTTCATGGACGCCGGCGTATTCCCGAGGGGTGAGTCGAGTCAAGCGCATTATCACGTTGAGTCTGAGCGCTGGTTATTCTGTAAACTAGTTCACACATTCGTTTAGTGTTAATCGAGACACTTAAAGTGCCCCTATTCTGCTGTTTTAAAGGCTCCTAATGTTGTTTTGGCGTCTCCTACAACAGATTCACATTCATCCAAGCTCAGAAACACTGTAATGTCCTCATGATCTCCACTGCAGCTTCAGCTCTTTTCTCTCAGTATCTGAAACGCTTCTGTGAAGATTCAGTCTCTCTAAGCTCCGCCTCTCTGAGAGCTGCTCTGCTGTGATTGGTCAGAAACACTGTAATGTCCTCATGATCTCCACTGGAGCTTCAGCTCTTTCCTCTCAGTGTCTGAAACGCTTCTGTGAAGATTCAGTCTCTCTAAGCCCCGCCTCTCTGAGAGCTGCTCTGCTGTGATTGGTCAGAAACACTCATTATCATATCTGAATCTCAGCTCTTGATCACAGTGATACGAACAGTGATGACGTCTTCTCGACACGAACAACACGAGCCGAACTCTTCCAGTCTCAGATACACTACAGTGTTTGAGGGCGGAGCTAAGAGAGGCTGATCAGCCAATCAAGACCAGAGGCTGGCATTATGCAAATTAGTGACAAACCTACGTTGAAAGTGAGAATGGAATTACTGACGACTCGTTTCTTTCTTTTAGAAGACAATAACTCCAAACTTTTCAGACCTTTTACATTCACAAACAGCTTTATTGCACTCTGCGTGAAAGGGAATATCTGAAAAGGCATAATAGGGCATTTTAACATCTCTACTATCAAACACTTGTGTTAAACGTGCATCAGAAATATATATATATATATAAACAGATAATGTTTTCACGCTGTGTTTCCAGCGGATGACGACGAGGACAAGGACGCAGACTTGCACGCTCCGCTCTACAGGACGGTGGAGGTGAGAGGAGTGCAGGTGCGCATGAAGTGGTGCTCCTCCTGTCACTTCTACAGGCCACCCCGCTGCTCTCACTGCAGTGTGTGTGATCACTGTGTGGAGGTGAGACAGCTGTCTGTCTGTCTGTCTATATATAGTATCTGTCCGTCTGTCCATCTGTCTGTCTGTCTGTCTGTCCATCTATCTGTCTGTCTGTCTATATATAGTATCTGTCTGTCTATCTGTCTGTCTGTCTGTCTATCTACAGTATCTGTCTGTATGTATGTGTCTGTCTATCTGTCTGTCTGTCTATCTGTCTGTCTGTCTATCTGTCTGTCTGTTGATCTGTCTGTCTATATCTGTGTCTGTCTATCTATCTGTATGAGTGTTTGTCTGTTGATCTGTCTGTATGTGTGTCTGTCTGTCTGTCTGTCTGTCTGTTGATCTGTCTGTCTATCTGTCTATATACAGTATCTGTCTATCTGTTTGTCTGTCTGTCTGTGTGTCTGTATGTCTGCCTGTCTGTCCATCTGTCTATCTGTCTGTCTATCTGTCCATCTGTCCATCTGTCCGTCTGTCTGTCTGTCTGTCTGTCTGTCTGTCTGTCTGTCTGTCTGTCTGTCTGTCTGTCTGTCTGTCTGTCTGTCTGTCTGTCTGTCTGTCTATCTATCTATCTATCTATCTATCTATCTGTCTGTCTGTCTGTCTGTCTGTCTGTCTGTCTGTCTGTCTGTCTGTCTGTCTGTCTGTCTGTCTGTCTGTCTGTCTGTCTATCTATCTATCTATCTATCTATCTATCTATCTATCTATCTATCTATCTATCTATCTATCTATCTATCTATCTATCTATCTATCTATCTATCTATCTATCTATCTATCTATCTATCTGTCTGTACAGTAATGTACAGGGTGGCCAGATTTTGGTTATCTGGCTGGAATGAGATTTTTATGGCATTATGTCTTAATCAATCATAAGTATGTATTTGAGGTCATGAGAACTTATTCATGTTATTCACCCCCTTTTGAAAATGTCTATGTTCAAACTCGCTTTTTGCGAAATGCCAATATAAGCTTGACTTTTTTGCTTTTTGTAACTCTGTTCTTATTCAATAGGTTTAAAGAATAAAGAATATAAGAGTAAAGTGTAGGTTATGCGCTGAGGAAAGGTCCTATTCTCTCAATCTCTAGAACTTTGACCATCACTGTCCCTGGGTGAACAACTGCATCGGGCGGCGCAACTACCGCTTCTTCTTCCTCTTCCTCCTGTCTCTGAGTCTGCACATGGTTGGTGTTTTTTCCGGAGGTCTCCTGTATGTCCTGGATCACCTGGAGGATTTGTGGGAGCTGCACGCCGCTGTCACGTATCCTTAAGCTGCGTTAATGTGTCATGGAAAGCTAGAATAATTGGTCAGTCAGACTGATAGCCCCGCCTCCAAAGTCACGTGATTGGCTGAGTCAGAAGTTGACGTGTCGGGTCCAAGCGACAACCTTCCAGTCTCTCTCTTGAATCAACACTGAAGTGCCTTAACCTGCAGTTCCTCCACTGGCCACTAGAGGCCGGCTACAGAAGAGACTCAATCCCATAGACCCGCATGTTAAAATGCCCAACTTTACAGCAGAAGAACACATGTTTACAGTCTGGTGCTAAAAGTGGTTTAGGTCTATAAAGCTAATTTTGCACTTCATGACGACTGTGATAGAAGTTACATTTTTTTATAACTCATCCGTTTAAATTATATTAAGCCGTAAAGTTCTGCATAATTAAGGGCGTGGCTACTTGAGTGACAGGTGGATTGCCGCTGATGTCACTACTAGCCGTTTGTCTGCTGTGTGTTAGCGTCACCTCAGCTAATCCGCCTCGCTGCACATGTTCGCTTATCCGGGAGTGACGCGCGGCCAAGATGGCGACGGCCGGCTCCGCCCACTTTGGGCTTCAAAAACGCTCTTCAGAAACACTACGGGTGACGTCACACACACTACGCACTTATTTATTTACAGTCAATGGTCGGGTCGCTCAAACAAACATCAGTGTTCAGAAAGCATCATCATATTTCATCCTCACACACATGACTCATGAACTGAGTGCCTTGACAGTGTGTGTTCAGGCTGGCGGTCATGAGTGTGTCCGGGTTGTTCTTCATCCCGGTCTTGGGTCTGGCCTGCTTTCATCTGGTGCTGGTGGCACGAGGACGCACCACAAACGAACAGGTGAGACCCAGTGTTAATATCTTCAATCATTTTGTCATTATTTTCGGCAACCACATTTTTTCACAGACGAAAACGCGACGATAACTACAAAAAACTAGTTTTTAATGACAAAAACTATGACGAAAATCTATTGACATTTTCGTCAACGAATAAAAACTAGACGAAAATGTTAGATAGTGACGATTTGGGAAGAGATCCAGTCAGAACTGATGTCCTGCGCTTGTGGAAGATGTGCGCATGTGTATTGTAGCGTGCTGATCATGAGTTGGCATGCACTTGATGCATTTCTCTTAAAACTTAAAAAAATGTAAACGTCTGGGAGAAAGAGAAGAGCATATGGACAGATCTGAGTAAGAGTGACGACGCAATAGAGCGGAGAATATTCACGTAAACACAGTCGGTTAAGTCTTTACAGAACGTAAACAGTGTGAGGATATAGCGGATGTGCATCAGTGCATTGGATCCGTGCATTCAGTCTTAAAGTGACAGTGCGTAATAAACCTAGTGCCGTCTGTGCCCTTAATATTAATAAAACAACAAAAGAGAAAGAGAAAAGCATTCACTGCTCTTTAATAGCTTTAATGAGGTTCAATTATATTAAATTTATACAAATAATATGTCTGCCTGATAGAATAAAGAATGACATATGCAAGTTGTTTTAAAGAATGCATTTATCATTCATTGAAAGAGGTTCTACTTTAGGAGAAGTGGATTTATTTAATTTTAAGATATTTGTTTATGTCACAGTGCTAAATCTGTGTCTGTATTACATGTTTACACTTTAAAATCATTCACATTAACAGGTTAATAGATGTTTCTCAGAGTATATACAGGTGAAACTCGAAAAATTAGAATATGGTGCAAAAGTTAATTTATTTCAGTAATTCAACTTAAAAGGTGAAACTAATATATTATATAGACTCATTACATGCAAAGTGAGATATTTAGAATATTGTGAAAAGGTTTTCAGAAGCTGTGAACCATAATCATCAAAATTATAACAAATAAAGGCTTGAAATATCTCACTTTGCATGTAATGAGTCTATATAATATTAGTTTCACCTTTTAAGTTGAATTACTGAAATAAATGAACTTTTGCACCATATTCTAATTTTTCGCGTTTCACCTGTAATGGGTTTGGAAATTTGAGAGAAATTCGAAATTAATGCATTATAATTGAACTAAATCCGTTAGATTTTAGCTGACTAAATCTACTGTAGATTTAGTCGACTAAAACTAAAACAATTCAGATGACTAAAATATGACTTAAACTAAATGGCATTTTTAGTCAAAAGACTAAAACCAAATCAATTCGCTGTGTAAATAAACACATGAGATCATGATTCACGGAGCGAACCCTGCTAACGCGGAGCTAACTCTCACTGACACTAATCTCAGGTTACAGGGAAGTTTCACGGCGGAGTGAACCCGTTCACCCGCGGCTGCGGCCTCAACCTGCAGTCTGTGCTGTTCAGTCCCATCATGCCGAGGTGAGCGCACCGACACGCCACACTGTACAGCACTGCTCCTTCACTAATGAACAACTACACTGGAACAAATGAGTAATGCACTAATAAAGGAGTAGTTCACTTTTAAAAAAACTTTTGCTGATAATTTACTCACCCCCATGTCATCCAAGATGTCCATGTCTTTCTTTCTTCAGTCGAAAAAGAAATTAAGTTTTTTGATGAAAACATTCCAGGATTTTTCTCCATATAATGCACTTTACTGGGTACCAAACGGTTCAAGGTCCAAAAGACAGTTTCAGTGCAAACTACAAACTGTTCAAAGGGCTTTAAACGACACCAGACGATGAATAAGGGTCTTATCAAGCGAAACGATCACTCATTTAAAAAATAAATAACAAAGTTTAAGTTTTATAAGCTCAAATGCCCGCCTTGCTCTGTTCTGTGTGACTCTCCTGTTCGAACTCGTTCATCAAAATGAACGAATCTTTTTTCGAGTCATTTGATTCATTTAACGAACGAAATGAACGAATTGAGAGAGTCAAAGTTCGAGAGTTCGAACAGGAGAGTCACACAGAACAGAGCAAGGCGGGCATTTGAGCTTATAAAACTTAAACTTTGTTATTTATTTTTTAAATGAGCGATCGTTTCGCTTGATAAGACCCTTATTCATCGTCTGGTGTCGTTTAAAGCCCTTTGAACAGTTTGTAGTTTGCACTGAAACTGTCTTTTGGACCTTGAACCATTTGGTGCCCAGCAAAGTCCATTATATGGAGAAAAATCCTGGAATGTTTTCATTTCTTTTCGACTGAAGAAAGAAAGACATGGACATCTTGGATGACATGGGGGTGAGTAAATTATCAGCAAAAGTTTTTTTAAAAGTGAACTACTCCTTTAACACTCTAGTAACTGCTATTAACTAACAAGAAACTCTGATTAATGAGTTAGTAATAGCGCTCAGTTGAATGTGCTAGTTCACTTTTAGCTAATCAGTAACTAATTTTCATACCTCACTGAAGACTACTATATACAGGTTCATAATTAACATTAATAATGCATGATGTATGATATAAGGCATTGGTAACCCATTAGTTATGACTCAAGTGTTACTACATCTTTTTAAAGGAACTACTAATTATTTGTACGATTTTTGATAGTAATTCCTTCCGGTGGATTTGGGAACACTTCAGTCATTACTGGTGTGTTTCCATGATCTGCACTGCACAATACTGATCCAAATAACTAGTTCCTTTAGAAGGATGATTCCTTTCGATTCATTCCTTTCGATTCATTACTAATGGATTACCATTACCTTATATTATACATTATGCATTATTAATATTAATTATGAACCTCTATATAGCCTATTAGCTGTTAGTAGTCTTCAGTGAGGTATGAAGAATAGTAGATTCAGCTTATTTCTGCTCCTGGAATCGCAGGTACACTGGGAGACTCGGTGACGGACTGCCGGTTCGGGTTCATCCTCCGTTCCTCCAGCGCGAGTCTCAGACCCTGACGCCGGTGAAGAGCTCCGGCAACTGCGACCCCAGCCCAGCGCTGCCCGCGAAGGTGCACGGCGTTATCAATACTGCATTATGGGGCATCGTGTGGATATGTATGCATAGAATGTATATGCACGTTTACGTTTAGTCATTTAGCAGACGCTTTTATCCAAATGAGAGCAATAGTCAGACCAGCTAGTCTCAGGTAGGGTTAGCACAGGACTTATAGCAACGTTTTTTTATTAAATTTTTTGGTAACGTTTTAGATTACAGCCCGGAAAGTACTGCGTAATTAAAGCGATTTTACAGCTTAACTTTTGGTAATTATAGTGTACCTATAACGTACTTAAAATATAAGTATAAGGGAACAATATTTTAAGTTTGGGGAATAAAGGGGTAACAACCAGGGGAATTATTTATACTGTAAGTATGATAAAACTAAGGGGTACTTATTCTACTATTATGAAACAACAATCTTACATTTGGGAGCGATTTAGCGAGAACATACACTGCGTACCTTTTTGAAATAATGGTGAACCAGTACATACTGTATAGGCTTTTTAAAAATTACAGGGTACATATCTATGCATTTATAATGTAATCTTTTTAACAAAATTGCACTGAAAATGAAAACTATTGCAACATTTGCTTAAATATTGGGGAAAGATACTCTTGTTTCATGTAGTGGTGCTTGTTACCCCCTTGTTCCATGTAGTTACTGGGTAAGTAAAATAAAAATGCATACACACAATCTTATATCACTGACTCGGAAACCTTTATTTATTATACAAGCACCACTTTCCCTGTAACCACATGAAACCAGACATATTTCCCAGTATTTAAAAAAAAAAAATGCAATAGTCTTAGCTTTTCTTGCCTTGAAACATGTTAGCCCAAACTTAAACATCTGCACTTTTGCTATAAAAAAAAACATAATTATTACAAAAAGGTACGCAGTGTATGTTCGCGCTAAAATGCTCCCAAATGTAAGATTGTTAATAGTAGAATAACTACCCCCTAGTTCTATAACACTTACAGAATAATTTTTTTTTTATTCTCTTGGTTGTTACCCCTTTATTCCCCAAACCTTACATATTGTTCCCTTATACTTACATGCAAGTACATTATAAGTACACTATAATTACCGCAAGTTACACTGTAAATTCCTCTTAATTACACAGTACTTTCCGGGCTGTAATCTAAAGCGTTACCAATTTTTTCAAGCGTTACCAATTGTTATGTTGTGTGATGTATAGTGAAGCCAAAGACTAAGTTCCACTTGTGGACAATAAAAGAACTTAACTTAACTTAACTTAACTTAACTTAACTTAACTTAACTTAACTTAACTTAACTTAACTTAACTTAACTTAACTTGAAAGCTAGGAATAACTGAGTAAGATCATGGAAGTAAACCTGTGTTCAGCTGTGGCTCATAAACTCACTTAATTTTACAGAGTTTTATAGATATAAAGATACTGTCAGTTTAGATCGTCTATTTTGAATTATGAATTACATTTTTTTTTACAATTTTCTGATTTTAAAGTTTTAGTAATTTTATTTATTTATTTTTTTAGTTATTGTATTTTTTAATATATCTGTATAGTGTTCCCCAGCCAAACTCTTCGTGTGAAGATACTTGTCTTCCATAAATACTGCGTTTATGGAACATGAAAGCTGTGAATAACTGAGTAAGTTCATGGAAGTAAACCTGCGTTCAGCTGTGGCTCATAAAACATAAATAGTTTTAGAGAGTTTTATAGATAAAGATACTGTAAGTTTAGATTGTCTATATTTAGAAATGTACCATTTTAGCATATAAATGTTGTCTATATTTAGAAATGTACCATTTTAGCATATAAATGTTGTTATGTATTTAGTCAAATGAGATTTGACTTTATAACACATCAGGTTTTTCTGAAAAATAAATACTGCTCTGAATAAAAAAACAATTATTTAAAGATATATTAACAGCTTAGATACAAAGCTTGACTAAATTTGAATTATGACTTAGTGTTATTTTACTATAATTGTGATAATATTATAGTTTTTACTAATATTTTGAATGTTTTTTATTAGTTACATTTTCTGATTTTATTTTATTTTTAGTAATTTTCTTTCTTTCTTTATTTTATTAGTTATTGTATTTCTAAATATATCTTTAGTTTTTATTCATATTTTATTCATATCCATATTTTCTGTTTTCATTAAAAGTTTTAGTACTTGTACTGTTTTTTTATTAGCTATTTTTAAAATATATCTGTATAGGTTCTATTAATATTTTTAATTTGTTTTTATTTTTATATGTTCTGATTTAGTTTTAATTTTAGGAAAACGTTTAGTAATTTTACTGTTTTTCCATTTTTATTATTGTTTTTTAAATCTATCTGTATAGTTTTTACTTATATTCTTTTTAAATGTTTTTTATATATCTGTTTCTAATTTTAATTTTTGTTTTAGTTATTTTAGTACAACTTAAACTAGAAAGTAAAGATTGTCTGGCCAAGATTTGATGATGGCTTATATAGCCTTATCTGAACGTTTGGAAGTTACAGACATGTTTCTAATGGTATTAGTTTTAGTTTAATAACCCTGGTTTGTAAGGTTTCGAAGTAGCTTAGCTTCCCCTACAATCAATTCAATTCACATTTATTTGTAAAGCGCTTTTCACAATACACATCATTTCAAAGCAGCTTTACAGAAGTGCATGAGTCCACATTACAGTATACAGTGATCTGTTATCAGAGGAGACTGTCTAAGTTATGCATTTCAGAAATGTACATATACAAAGTCACAGTTAGCTAAAAATGTATTAATTTAAACAATGTAATCATTTCAGGCAGAAACAATGAGCTCATTGAAGTAATGAATACTTGTTTGTTAACAAATGATTATGACATTTAGACAGTGAGAGTGTGCTTTTTCGTCACTGCTGGTACAGTATCTGTATAATATTTTGATGTTTTTGTTTCAGTCTCTGGAAGAAGTAGATGATCCAGACAGTAAAAGTTTGACCAGTCCCCCTCCACTGCCCCCTAAACCAGACCCAGTCCTGCTCAAGAACCATCTGGCAGCTTTGGAAGGTGTGTGTGTGTGTGTGTGTGTGTGTAAGCGTTGAGCAGAATCATGTTTCTGGAAGCTCTGAAACACTAAACGTCCTCATGTCCTCTCGTTGTGCTTTATAACAGAGAGTTTGCTCCAGTCCAGAGCCGCGATGCCTTCAGGACACAAAATAATTCCCCTTCAGACTGCAGAGTCGCCCACCAAAGTGCTCTACCAGGTTCCCCGAGATCAGGTGAGACTGTTTACACTGCTTACAGCTGTGCGAGCAAGTCAGTTTCAACCACAGTAAGGGATGCTATATCAATATAGCAATTCTGCATGAAATCAGAGAAATATATCCTATATTTCTCAATATCTTCGCTTAGATGGCTGCTAGTTTAATTTGGAAAATGGAAAAACCAACCAACATTCAAATCTCTTTATATATCAAAACCAGCCGACTATTAAATTCTTAATAAAACAAAACCGACTGACATTTAAATCTCTTAACGAGAGAAAACCGACCGATATTTAAATCTCTTAACGGAACAAAACTGACCGATATTTAAATCTCTTAACGAGAGAAAACCGACCGATATTTAAATCTCTTAACGGAACAAAACAAACCGATATTTAAATCTCTTAAAGCTCCTGTAGGTAACTTTTGAAAACATGTATTTGCTAAAACTGTCATCATGTCCTGACAGTAGAATATGAGACAGATAATCTGTGTAAAAATCAAGCTCCTCTGGCTCCTCCTAGTGGTCCTATTGCCATTTGCAGAAATACACGCTCCCGGTCAGAAACAACCAATCAGAGCCAGGAGGAGTGTCTTAGCAGTGTCAATCACGCTCGTGTACGCGCTGATCACACCCCTCTCTTGCACAGCGCGAGCGCCGGAGCGCGAGCCGTCGTTCAAACTCAAGATTGCCGGCGAGCTGCAGCTGTGCTTATGACGGAGAAACAACCTAAACTGCCAATTCTCGAGTGACACCTGCTCATAAAACAAAGAGGTAAAAGGAAAAAGACTGATGACGATAACCAAGCGAAAAAGAAAGAATTACACAGTTGACTCGGTGTCAAAACTCTAGCGCATAACATGTAGATAAAATGTTGCGCACTCTGCTAAGCAACAATTAAAACCTGCTAATTCACTGGCTTGTCATGTTGCTGAAATAATGTACTAGCACACCTTATCGAGCATTATATATCGCTAGAATAATTACTTACATACTGTAACGTTAGTTACCGTTATATTAACGTTATCTTACTAGCTATTTATAACTTATAGAAAGAGTGCAACATTATAAAGTTACATGTAGGCTATTGGAAAATATATAATGATTTGAGGACCAAGTTTGTAGTCAAAGTATGGGTAGGCCATAGTCAATGTAAAGCTTATTGTTGACGTTTAGTCCCTATTAGTGAATGTGCCATATAACTTTTTATCCGCTGTTATCGGTGGCCCTGTTTACTAGCCTGCGCGTTCACGACAGGCTCCGCTGTGGAGGACGAGCTGTGGAGGGAGGGCTGTAGCGCAGCAGAGAGCAAGGGGGCGGGACCTGTAAGTTGTGCTTGTTCAAATTTTCAGGCTAAGTCAACGTTTTCTCAAAACTCCCTACTGCAGCTTTAACCAAAGAAAACCGACTGACATTTAAATCTCTTAATGAGAGAAAACCGACCGATATTTAAATCTCTTAACAGAACAAAACCGACCGATATTTAAATCTCTTAACGGAACAAAACCGACCGATATTTAAATCTCTTAACAGAACAAAACCGACCGATATTTAAATCTCTTAACGGAACAAAACCGACCGATATTTAAATCTCTTAACGGAACAAAACCGACCGATATTTAAATCTCTTAACAGAACAAAACCGACCGATATTTAAATCTCTTAACAGAACAAAATCGACCGATATTTAAATCTCTTAACGGAACAAAACCGACCGATATTTAAATCTCTTAACAGAACAAAACCGACCGATATTTAAATCTCTTAACAGAACAAAACCGACCGATATTTAAATCTCTTAACAGAACAAAACCAACCGATATTTAAATCTCTTAACGGAACAAAACCAGACGATATTTAAATCTCTTAACAGAACAAAACCGACCGATATTTAAATCTTTTAACAGAACAAAACCAACCGATATTTAAATCTCTTAACGGAACAAAACCAACCGATATTTAAATCTCTTAACGAAACAAAACCGGACGATATTTAAATTTCTTAACGAAACAAAACCGGACGATATTTAAATTTCTTAACGAAACAAAACCGGACGATATTTAAATCTCTTAACGAAACAAAACCAACCGATATTTAAATCTCTTAACAGAACAAAACCAACCCGATATTTAAATCTCCTAACGGAACAAAACCGGACGATATTTAAATCTCTTAACGAAACAAAACCGGATGATATTTAAATTTCTTAACGAAACAAAACTGGACGATATTTAAATCTCTTAACGAAACAAAACCAACCGATATTTAAATATCTTAACGAAACAAAACCAACCGATATTTAAATCTCTTAACAGAACAAAACCAACCCGATATTTAAATCTCCTAACGGAACAAAACCGGACGATATTTAAATCTCTTAACGAAACAAAACCGGACGATATTTAAATTTCTTAACGAAACAAAACCGGACGATATTTAAATTTCTTAACGAAACAAAACCGGACGATATTTAAATCTCTTAACGAAACAAAACCAACCGATATTTAAATCTCTTAACGAGAGAAAACCGACCGATATTTAAATCTCTTAACGAAAGAAAACCGACTGACATTTAAATCTCTTAACGAAAGACAACCAACCGATATATTTAAATCTCTTAACGGAACAAAAAACCGACCGATATTTAAATCTCTTAACAAAAGAAAACCGACTGACATTTAAATCTCTTAACGAAACAAAACCGGACGATATTTAAATCTCTTAATGGAACAAAACCGACCGATATTTAAATCTCTTAACGAAACAAAACCTGACGATATTTAAATCTTTTAACGGAACAAAACCGGACGATATTTAAATCTCTTAACGAAACAAAACCGGACGATATTTAAATCTCTTAACGAAAAAAACCGACCGACATTTAAATCTCTTAACGGAAAAAACCACCGACATTTAAATCTCTTAACGGAACAAAACCGGACGATATTTAAATCTCTTAACGAAAGAAAACAGTTAGATATAAATCGTAACATTGTTATATATCATCATATCCCCAAGCCCTAAAACTTGCATTAGAGACATAACAGTACGACTTTCTGGAAATAAATTTGACTTCTAAGATACCTTGTGCTGTTTTGAACACAGTTTTACTATAAAGCTGTGGCTACATGTTCTTCTAGATGTTCAATGTTCAATTTATTTATAAAGCACATATTAATACAACAACAGTTGACCACAGTGCTGTACACGGGACAAGCAAAATAATCATAAAATCACATTCAAATTCTATATCATTACAACACAGTCACAGATAAAACCAGAAGACAATGAGGCATTAATAAAAACCCGTTACACCACTAACACAAGACTCATGTGTAACTCACGGCAGAATAAAAAAATACGATTTTAAATGATGTTCCTTTGTCTGTCCCTGTAGATCGGGACGAGGATTTCCCCGCTGGTCCCGCAGGAGCACGCGTCCGATCCCAGTCTCCTTCAGTCGGAGAATCCCGGAAACTCTCTGACTCTGAATTCCCGCTCGCTGAGTCTGAAACACTCCCACCGTCGCGTAGCCGAAACTCCAGGTCCACATCCGAGCGCTAGCGTCCTCATTAGCCGATCCGGGAGTCTGTCCTACGACAGTCTTCTGCGTCCCGTCGAGCGCCTCGGATCCCAGACGCCATTCCTTCCCATGGATTCGAGTCTCTCCCGAGGTCCCGGATGCAACTGCAGCCCGGTGTTCATGAATATTAGCCGGCATTCGCCTCAACACCGCGAGCCGTCGCCCGTTTGCTACGACAGCCTCGCTAAACCGCTAATGAGCTCCATTCAGGAGCGCCGGGAACCTGACGAGAAGGACAAACCTCTCGCTCCGAACTCCGGGATCTACGACGTTCCCAGCAGACGAAGTCTTCCGCATGATTTCCGAGGCCCGTCGTCTCGCGGACCGACTCCTCCGGCGTACGGCTCGCGCGAGTTCCTCCTTAGCAGCGCGGCGTACGGATACGGGAGCCGGCCGCATCTGTCTTCCTCCTCCTCGTCTTCGCTCACCCGCACGCCTCGGACCGCCAGCTCCCCGCTGCACTTTAACCGATCCCTCTCTCCCTCCTTCTATCACTCTCTGGACCGACCTTCCCAACAGTTCCCATCGACTCTTCCCAGCTCCTCCTACAGCCATCAGAAAGCACTGGCCTTCATCACAGGAGAAGAAAGACCCGAACCTGAACTATGAGTCCGGCACGGAAATCATCAAAATATCAGGGAATTTTAATAGGGATTATGCAGACCTGGAAAATGTCACTTCCCTGCTCAAAAGGTGTTGGGAGAAGCTGATACGCCATAGCCTGGTTAAAACCAGACCATTCTCAGTTGTAACGAGTTATGGTCTGGCAAAGCTTCATAGACAAATCATTTCCAAAGGGGCGTCACCAACGGACGTCGCTCAAATGCCTCTGGGCGCAATTGGATAGACCTAAAACCAATCAGAGCGCTGAAGGAGATGACGTATGCAGAGCGACGTTCGTCTGTTATAGAACAACTTGAATAAAGGAATAAACGAGCAGACACCTGATTAGCTACTTGATCTACATTTATTTTAAATTAACAGCAAGACAACTAGAAGTGAATGTGCTTTCCATTAAATAAATCACACACAGTAAACAAAACCTTAACAAAAAAAACTTTGCAATGAACTTTGAAATTTTGACGCGCAAACTGGGTGCCGGTGCGGTGAGACGTGCATGCTTGGGCAGATTCAGCTTGAAGTCGTAAATCCTCGGACGCGGCGCCGCGCGCGCTGTAACAAAAAAAAAAACGTGCACACAGCCAAGCGAAATGGGGTCTTGCCGGTCTTGCGCACCGAACGCGCCATTTTTGCCGCGCGCACCTTCGCGCTCGTGCGGACGCGTCGAGTATAAACAAGGCTTTACTCCGTGTCAGCGCGCTCTGATCGGTAAAGGGGCACAGACCTCTCCCGAATCATCTCCAGCACTCAGCCTCCGAAGCTCCACTAACTCCGCCTCCGTTTCCCGCGTAAGCTGATATTAGTATTTAAACATTCTCTATGATAAAAAAAAATTGTGAAAAAAATATTTTTATAACATGGTTTTGGCGGTTATAGAGTTCTAATGATGGTGTTCAACTATAACCGTCACACCCCTAGTTCCACGGCGGCATCCATCTTTGTAAATGTACAACATCTGCTTCACCGTCGCTGTGCTGTCGTCATCGTGTAAAGCCCGCCCCAACGTTCCTGATTGGTGCCGCGATTTTGACGGATTAGAAATGGGCTTGAATGAGCTCTTTGCCAGACTAACTTGCAGAGCAAATCTAAATTTGCCTGAAGTTGTCTGGGTTTTCCCAGGCTAGATACGCCATCAATTACGCTGGTGTGTGGTGAGCGTTCTGGCGCACTATGGCTGCCGTCGCATCATCCAGGTGGATGCTGCACATTGGTGGTGGTTGAGGAGATTCCCCCTTCCATGTGAAGCGCTTTGAGTGCCCAGAAAAGCGCTATATAAATGTAAATGAATTATATTAATTAATTATTCTTCTAATATATGCTGATTTGCTGCACAAGACACATTTATGATTATTATCAATGTTGAAAACGGTTTCATATTTTTGTGGAAACTGATAGATTTTATTTTTCAGGATTCTTTGATGAATTGAAAGTTCTAAAGAACATCATTTATTTGAAAAAGAAACCTTTGTAATATTATAAATATCTTTACTGTCACTTTTGATCAATTTAATGCTGTACTCTTAACGGAACAAAAACTGACCGATATTTAAATCTCTTAACGGAACAAAAACTGACCGATATTTAAATCCCTTAACGGAACAAAAACTGACCGATATTTAAATCTCTTAACAGAACAAAAACTGACCGATATTTAAATCTCTTTAGAGGACAAAACCGACCGATATTTAAATCTCTTAACAGAACAAAAACTGACCGATATTTAAATCTCTTTAGAGGACAAAACCGACCGATATTTAAATCTCTTAACGGGACAAAACCGGACGATATTTAAATCTCTTAACGGGACAAAACCGGACGATATTTAAATCTCTTAACGGCACAAAACTGACCGATATTTAAATCTCTTAACGGGACAAAACCAATCGATATTTAAATCTCTTAACGAAACAAAACCAACCGATATTTAAATCTCTTAACGGAACAAAACTGACCGATATTTAAATCTCTTAACGGGACAAAACCAACCGATATTTAAATCTCTTAACGAAACAAAACCAACCGATATTTAAATCTCTTAACGGAACAAAACCAACCGATATTTAAATCTCTTAACGGAACAAAACTGACCGATATTTAAATCTCTTAACGGCACAAAACTGACCGATATTTAAATCTCTTAACGGGACAAAACCGGACGATATTTAAATCTCTTAACGGAACAAAACCAACCGATATTTAAATCTCTTAATGGAACAAAACTGACCGATATTTAAATCTCTTAACGAAACAAAACCAACCGATATTTAAATCTCTTAACGGAACAAAACTGACCGATATTTAAATCTCTTAACAGCACAAAACTGACCGATATTTAAATCTCTTAACGGAACAAAACTGACCGATATTTAAATCTCTTAACAGCACAAAACTGACCGATATTTAAATCTCTTAACGGAACAAAACTGACCGATATTTAAATCTCTTAACGAAACAAAACTGACCGATATTTAAATCTCTTAACGGGACAAAACCGGACGATATTTAAATCTCTTAACGGAACAAAACCAACCGATATTTAAATCTCTTAACGGAACAAAACCGGACGATATTTAAATCTCTTAACGGGACAAAACCCACCGATATTTAATCTGTACGGATACGGGAGCCGGCCGCATCTGTCTTCCTCCTCCTCGTCTTCACTCACCCGCACGCCTCGGACCGCCAGCTCCCCGCTGCACTTTAACCGATCCCTCTCTCCCTCCTTCTATCACTCTCTGGACCGACCTTCCCAACAGTTCCCATCGACTCTTCCCAGCTCCTCCTACGGCCATCAGAAAGCACTGGCGTTCATCAGAGGAGAAGAAAGACCCGAACCTGAACTATGAGTCCGTCACGGAAATCATCAAAATATCAGGGAATTTTAATAGGGATTATGCAGACCTGGAAAATGTCAATTCCCTGCTCAAAAGGTGTTGGGAGCGCCATCAATTATTCTTCTAAAATATGCTGATTTGCTGCACAAGACACATTTATGATTATTATCAAATTTTGAAAACAGTTTCATATTTTTGTGGAAACTGATACATTTTATTTTTCAGGATTCTTTGATGAATTGAAAGTTCGAAAGAACAGCATTTATTTGAAATAGAATCTTTTGTAACATTATAAATGTATTTACTGTCACTTTTGATCAATTTAATGTGTGCTTGCTTGATGAATAAAAGTTATTCTTATTCACGCCAATCACAATTTCCACAAAAATTATGAACTTTTCAACATTGATAATAATCATAAATGTTTCTTGAGCATCAGATCCTCATATTAGAGTGATTTCTGAAGGATCATGTGACACTGAAGACTGGAGTAATGATGCTGAAAATTCAGCTTTGATCACAGGAATAAATGACACTTTACTAGATATTCACATAGAAAACAGCTGATTTACACTGGAATAATATTTAACTGTTTTTACTGTATTTTTATCAAATAAATGCAACTTTGGTGAACAGAGGAGACTTTCAGATTACAATTTTTTTTTTAATTATTACCAACTTTTCACCAGCAGTGTATGTATTTTTAAAATGTATTTACAGGAATATATTGCATAATAAAATTCTATTCTATGAGCAATTATTATTTAGTTTCTTTTTAAAATTTTAACAATTAAAGTATGGTGCTTTAAAATTATTTTAAACAGTTTTTGTTAATTGTATAATTAAAATATATTTGTTTTTTGCTATTTCTTTTTTCTGTATCAATATTGTGTTTTATAATTGATTTCTTGGCTAATAAAGTTTGATTTGTTGACTTCATAGTTTTGCTTTGATATTCTCTCAATGAATGTTGTATTTTATCCTCTTAAAGTCCTCATGAAAGAGAAGTTGTGCTAGTCTTCTCTCCTCTTTTGTTCCGTATATCGAGAAACGCTTCAGGAACAAGAACAAATGAGGGCGGGGCTTGATTGTGTCTTAGGGGAGTTGATTGGATGGCTGTATTTTGCTATTGGCTGATCTCATGTGAGTGACAGGTGGCCCCGCCCACATCATCAGAGAAGAGAAGAGATGCTGGAAGAGGAAGTTATTCTGATTCAACATTACCAGGAACATGAATTCAACATAATAATGATAAATAATTTAGAATAAACACTTCAATATTCAAGAGTTGTCAATATTAGACACAGGTGTGCCTTCAGTCAAAGGAAACTGGTTACAAACCCACACTAAAGATTAGTATTTCCTTGATTTCTTTAGTGAGCTCGGGAAGAGGACGGAGTGAGGAATATCACACACTTTATGGAAGCAGAAGTTCCCTCTGGTGTTCACTGAGAAATATTACATGTTGTTCCACTGATGTAAATAAGCCTGTTTAAAAACGATTCCTTCCTTCCTTGCACATACTTTACATATCTTTTTTGAAAGTGAAATTGTTAAATGTGGTTCGTCACTTCAGATATTAAGGGTGGCTTGAGTGTAGTTTAACTTTACCAGCAGAATGAGAATATAACAGGTCTGATGATGGAGTGCAATGGCTGGGATTCCTGGGAAAGCTTTTCTTTGCTTTATTGATCAGTATGGAGCGAATTATGTGCCATAATTAAACAAACAAATCCGGCATTTTGCGAACAAACTCGATCTGCTTTGCAAAGGAAAACTCGAGTCACAAACAAACAGAAAGCAATTTGCAAATACAAAGGTCAATTTGAGCAACAATGCAGTGGAATAACCAATATTGTGTTTTACAAATATAAATAGCCTAAATGAGCCTATATTCAATTCACCTTTATTTATATAGCGCTTTTTACAATACAGATTGTATCAAAGCGCTTCACAGTGATAACATGAAAACAATATAACAAAAACAATATAACAATATAACAAAGTTTGTTTCTAAAAGAAAATTGCGTCAACGTCCACCTTAAGTAAGGCAGATCAATAATATTATTGAATATTAAATGTCCCCAACTAAGCAAGCCAAAAGCCAAGGCAACAGTGGCAAGGAACCAAAACTCCATCAGGGACAGAATGGAGAAAAAAACCTTGGGAGAAACCAGACTCAGTCGGGGGGCCAGTTCTCCTCTGGCCAACGAAGGAACAGTGCATGATTCGGGCAGCATTACAAGTCAGATTGGAA